AATTCTCTGTTATTCCTTTCCTCTCTGGAACAGTATTGCCTATATGAACTTGCTTGTGAATTGCGTGGAATATAAGTCACATATTTTTGGTTTAAAGGTTGCTGGTTTCGCGGAGGACACGAATATCAATATCGGTACAAGGCGATTTTATTGACCTTATCTCCGAGCGACCCTTCCGGAATCCGGGGTGACTTTTCCCTTCATTTCTTTGCGAAAGCTCAGCCTCATCAGGAATAAAGAGGGGAGGAAAAAGAGAGCGTAGACCAAGGGTATGAAAAGACTGCCGCAGACGGCATGATTAATTCAAGCTCGGCTGAGACCTTGCTCCGAGATGCGGACGCGCGATAGGACGAAGTCCCAGGCCAGCATAGCTTTGTTTGATCAACGTTCATTGATGAGGAGAAATGAACCACGGGGTCCCCCTCGCTTTGCTAGTGGGTTAGTGAAACCCGCTTTTTGGGTAAAGTCGAGGAGAGCATGCATGCCATCCTCCCTCTTGGAGTCGCTGTCGGTGTAGGCGTGTAGCATGATTCGACGAGTTGACGCACAAATTTTAATATCGTGAAAAAGCGTACATTTTCTGCAGGAATTTCTTTTTAAATTTCCAGCAAGATGCTCTGAACCTTCCAAAAATTCCATATGTTGGATTTCCGATTGAAAGACTTATCCCCTAATTTAGATTTTTTTGGATACAATAATACATATCGTACCATAATAATGTTCACTACAACAATCACCCACATTATCATCGCCATTTGCATTTCTTTCCATATTTTCAATGGAAACATGATCACACAGCTTCGGATGGTGAAATTTCTTTGTTTCGCCTACGTCCGCTAAAAAAAATCGAATTTCTGGAAAAAATATTGATGACCAAAGAAATGTCTTTCTCCATGTTGAAGATTTTTCAGTAGAGAATAATCTCATTTGAGAATGAACGTGCTTCAAGATTGTTTTGCCTACTAAATCTGATATTTTATACATGAACAACGGTATCCCGCCTGCTACGATTTTCAGGTGGGGGAAAATCATTATTTTGTTCAGAGAATTTAGATAATATAGGATTTTTTTTATTTGAAGGTCTTATGTGCTCCGAAGTAAAATCGCCTTACATGAAGAATACTGTATAGTATTTGGTTTCAGTGGGGAACCAATTTGAAATCATACATTTTTACTTTTTTCAAATTTATAATTTTTTGTCGCTCATGGGTTAGTTACCGAGATCACTGAGGCAAAAGATGATCTTGCATCAAAAAGTGCATTGATTCAAGAAAATTTAAAAATGTCTGTCAGCCAGGGACCAAAAGAGAAAATGTTTCTTTTAGCAAGCATACAAATAAAAATAAAGCACTGTGATTCATTCTATGCTGTATGAGTAGCGACTGTTGAAAATATATTTTAACGGTAAAATATCATCTCTTGAATCCTTATTTTCATTCAAATCCGTGATCAATCTATAGATGCAAGCCATGGGATAAATTCTACCTCGAAATAAGTGCCGCAAAAAGATGAGCCAGCGTCGAAAGGTTGATTGGTTCAATACAATTTTAAAATGTATGTCATGCAGAACTGAGTGAATGTTTCGTAACAGGCATGTACCATTAGGAGAAGAAGAAGAAGAAAAAAAGCTAGAGGTCGATTCTATGTAGGAGGGTGCAGCGAGTGTTGGAAAAATATCATACGGCTGGCGGCAGTCTTCTGGAAAGAACCTTTGAATAAAACTCGCGGGGTGGAATCTGCTACACTGACGGCAGAATGCGAGTACACGGGAGAACTCTGCTTTGAATGAGAGCCTGTCCGATATGCTGGGCTGGGAGAGGAGGCAAAGCAGCAGCAGCAGCTCCACCATCACCACCACCACCACCACCAACACCACCAGCAGCAGCAGCAGCAGCAGCAGCGGGTCTGGAGTCAGAGCCCATGCGCAGAAAACCCGCTGGGTTCGTCAATAGGGTTCCCCGTCGCCGCCGTTTCCGCGACAGTGCTCTCGCTGCTGCTGCAGGTCCTTGCCTCGAAAAACCAAGTTTTGTGTCCCACTAAAAAATATATATATATATAATAATAACATAAGTCCGGACGAAAGCCCGAGTGTGAATAACAGCTTCGTCTTCAAGGTGTCACGTCGCTTGTTTATAATCTAGTATTGTATTTAATTTTCAGTGCTGTTCAATTTCAAGAATCATGCGGTTGTTCTTGAAGTGAAGTGGGATTTTTTCAAAAACGTTCGCGTCCCTGTAGAAAAAAAAACGAAACATTTGCATGAGCAGCTTCATGCCCATAGTTGACCATCACGTGATAATGTTTTGATCATTATTATGTATATTCATTCATATTCAATGTCAAGGATCCCTCAAATAATTCCGAGTGAAGCCAGACTTCGGCAAAAGTGTTTGTCTCTTTCGAAACCCGCGTGTGAGCAGCTGTATATCAAAAATCGTAATATCCTTTAATAATATTTGAATTATAATCATTCGAATTCAGGGTCACTCAACAAAAAAAATTTGTACGCTGATAACCCTGAGGTGAAGCCGGATTCTGCCAACAATGTCAATGCTAAAAGAAGTGAATAATAATGGTCGAAACTTTTCCAATAGCCATTACATTTTCGTGAATCCGTGAATTTTTTTGTTTGATCAAATGAAATTCGTTGTGCGCCTTTTCAGAAGTTGACGCAACACAGAAAATTTAACTTAAAGGCTAGGTTTCCTCAAAATTCAGTAGCTTAATGCTCCGCAACATCAACTTACCGTAGAATTATTCAGAACATGCCCTACATTCAGTGCGTCTATTATAGTTTTAAAAATAGTCACTTGTCCAACTGGTAAAATATTTCTGCACTGTAGTGTATATAAACATACATTCCACGCGTATAATATCGTTAATCGGATGTTCGAAGCAATTTTTCATTTTGGAGTGGCAATAATTTACGTATAACTCATTTTCCTGTTCTTGTTATTTTGAAATTGAGAAGAGAATCGGGCGCTGAAAAGCTACGTGAATGTTATCTCCCTTGATCTGGAATTTTTAAGCTACTTTTTTATACCGTATTATAAAAATACACAAATACTGTAGGTACTAAAAGTCCGTTTTCTCGGAAATGGTTATCGAATACAAACTTAAGAATAAATACCCCGAGAAGTACCTTCACAAGTCTCAGAAAACGAACAGTTTCTCGAACCAACAGCGTAAAATTATTCGGCATTACCATCAGCCAGCTGGAACAAATGACCGAGAAACGATAATTGCAGTGATGAAAGATAAAAGGGCGGCTTTCCTTAATTGCTCTCAAGAGAGAATCGTTCCATTTACCGAAATTTTCATTTTATAAGTTGATGGAAATCATTTCGATCGAAAATTTGCCCTTCTCTGCATGAAAAGCAAGAGAACTTCAGAAGTTATTTTTAGAGATCAATATTGCTGATATAGAAGTGCAGAAAAACTTTTGACACGCGGCAGCGGAGTGTCAGAAGTGCCCTGCTTCAAAAAGGCCCGTATAACCTTCCTGATGGACTTTCCAAATATTGAAGAAAAAACGAAAAAGAAAACTTTCAACCCACCGCGAAATTATCAGTGAAAACACCTTGTGATTTCTGGTACTTGGAAGTACGTGTTCTGATTCCAGACCATCGTGTTCGAGTGCTGATAGAAAAAAGCCAGAATGGAACGAAAATTGATTTACGATCCTGATAACCGTGCTCTAAAACTTGATGACCAATAATACCCTCGATGCTCATGAGGCAGGTTAATTTTTTACCCTTTCGTGAATGACTAATTTCCTTGTGTCGATAACAAAGATTCATTATAGTAAGTCATTGTCTCCAACACCTCTCCGTCATGTTTACGCGAAAGGTGTATGATACCGAGTTTTATAGATAGATGTCAATGTCATGTTCATGAAAAAATTATGTGTGCTATGAAGAATGTACTTTAGAAGACCATAGCGATGCGCCTATTCTTTCATGCAGTTGCATAAATCAAAAACGATAAAGTTATGCATGGCTCCCACCATTGACAAAACTTAAATATGGGGGGGGGGGGGATTCAAGCACGGATCCTGATCGACCTAATCTTCAATTTTACCGAATTTTCGCCTTGAAAGTTATGAACTAATGTCAATGATTTTGTATGAAATTTTTAATATTCACATTTCATTCTATCTTATGTTTCTGGATAAATTAAAAATGTGAAACAGAAGCGAATTCAGGAAATAATGGTGAAATTTTATTCTCCACGAACCTGACGCGCAGCAGGCATTATTAAATTGATTAGACAATGTAATTGTCAAAAAATAATCGCATCCTGAATTTTATCAAATTTAAAAATTATATTTTCACTAACGAGTTTTGTGGTTTAACTTTATAACCAATTTATTGTGGTTTTTTCTTAAATCACGGCCGGCTTTGAAATAACGAATGATATCACTATAATATCGAACACGAATATGATGCTTTCATTTCCTGATGATTCACGAGAAGGAGGAACTTGCGCAAAATATTTAAACCATTCATTAGAAATTTCAATCAGGAGAAACATCATAGTCTGTCAGGAATTACTGACTTGATCCTCAGTATCTTATTCGCATAATGCAAGAGGCTTGGTGCTGGAATAGAGGCAAACGAAGCTATCAATGAAATCGGCTTCTTGAAATATTTTTTAAATTCCCGAAAAATACATTCCAGTTTCCAACACACACGCCACAAAAAAAATAAAATAAAAAAAAAAACGAAACCAAGACACGATCGTTATTTTTCCTCACGGAGTCGCACGCGTATTCCCACGGCGACGGTGTACTGATGGATTATAACCGACCCGTCAGCAGTGTCACGCCATGATGAAGAAAAAAAGGGAAAAGCACATACTGTTTTTTTATGACCGAAGTGTTATTTTCTTTCATTTTGCAGACATGAATCACTCGAGGCAACGACCACGACGACGACGACGACGACGACGAATGCACAACAAACCTTCCGCGACAGCCGACATGCGGATGAAGGCTTTGTGAACGAAAAAAAAAAAAGGAGGATAAAGAATCCACTTTGTGCTTTCGCACCAATTTTCTTTGCCTCCTTTCGCCGGGAAAGCATCTTTCTCTCGTAGAATTTCCTCCGGGTGTATTCTTCTGCTGTGAAATAGAGGCAACAGAAAGAAAGGAGAAGAAATGCTCGAACAAGGATTCCTGTGTCCGGGGTTCTTCGAATCCCGGAGGAGGCTGATGCCAATTTTCCTCAGCGCGATTTTTGCCGTCGCGCTGCTTTGGGCAGACATCCAAGGCGTCGATGGACAGCCCAAGAAAATTGGGTGAGTTCTTTGCCTCCAAAAAGTATTTCCCCAAAGGACTGAAACCCAAGAAAAAAATAAATATCATCAATCCAAAATCTCATTACACTGTATACGAGTGCATCGGAACCCATATTCAATATCCGCGGCTGCTGATGCCATTCGCCGGAGAACATTTTTACTACGTGGGTCCATTTCTTTTGCTTTTACAAAAGCGATGTTTAAAAGTGTTTCTAAAATTTCTATATCAAGTTCTACAGGCAGCACCCACATTTTTAAAATCAGAATCAGCAGAACCACTGTGGGGTCAATTTGATTTACCAAGGTTGATTGGAATATTCGTCAGTTGTTCTTTGCTCTTTGGAAGTTTCTTCCTTGCCAAATTTATATTCCAACACATTCGGCATCCCTATGATGCAGGTATTTTCATCATCAGAATATTTTTTAGTATGATACGATTGTCAAATATTGATATTATCACGAACGAAACCGATTTTTCAATGATTGAAATATTTTTATTGCTTTTGAAGTGCCAGAAAATCCCAGTTTAATGGAAATGGGACTCGTTAGCCTTATTTTCTCACAGTGATGGGGATCTATTTCACCTCGGTTTCATTCTAATTTAAAATTAAGTGACTACGAATTAAAACATATAGCAACATTTTTCAGTCGATGATATCATCTTCAGGAAAATGTGGCCATCGTTGAGGAAAGTGCGAGGCTGGAGAAACTTATAAATTAAAATTTGCACAACTAAGGCTTTTCAAAGATTAAATATCTCATGGTACTTTCCTGCAACAATTTTGATTCTAACGCAAATACTTGCAGCTCTGAAGGCTCTTTTTTTTCGACAGTTTTATGGTTCAAAAAGTTTTCCGCAAGCTGAATAAGGACTCATATACAGTACATGTAGTCAAATTTCGAAAATACGGCTGTATATTCTTGCTGCTTAGTCGAATCTCGAAAACCACGACTGTAAAAAATAATTATGCAGCAATGTGAATTATATTTATATTTAATCATGTATCATTCCTATAGATTGATGGATCTGAACGTCTCTGGAATATTGGACGAGCTTCAAGAAGGATATGACAAAAGAATACGACCCAACTACGGGGGTAAGCGACGTTTTTAATTTCCTGCTTTAGTTTCAATTTCTGATCGCATCTGAAAAAAAATGTTAATCTTTTGAATTTGCTAAACCTTTCGGGAGTTTCGGAATTTCAGCTAAGAAAAGTGGGAAGAAAAAAAGCAGTCCGAAGATTAGAAAAGGGTTTGTTTCTTTTTCCTTTATTGCGGGAATTTAGTCTCACGTGAAGGCTTCAGTTCCTGTTTTCTCGAACAATGGAAGAAAGCAAGTGAAAGGGGAAAAGATCACGACTTTTACTTGTGTTCACAATGTATGTTCGTACTTGTTCCTTGTTTCTCCTTTTTTTATAATACAAAATTATTATGTTAGCGAACACGAAGACAGACAAGCACCCGATTTCCTGAGTTGAGAACTGAACTTTCGTTTCGAGTTTTTCCTTGTTTCTCATGTCCGTTGGTTTCTTGTGACACGTTGTTGGTGTTGTTGTTCTTTGTTTGAAATGCTTTATTGTTCGTGTTGTTTCGTCCTCACATCGTGAAAGCGAATGATGAGAAAGACACGCATCTCGACGTGGAGTTCCAGAGCGTGGGTGGGGCAACCGAAAAAAAACGAGAGAATGCAAAAAAAAAAGTTTTGTAGCGGAAGAAAAGACCGGAAGTGTTCATGATGATGTTTCCGCAGGTCCGTGTGTTGAAGTCGGAGTCACCATGTACGTGCTGAGCATAAGCTCCCTGTCAGAAGTACAAATGGTACTGCAACATGGAACTAATTTTCTTAGGGAGCCAGGCCCTCGTGTACTTAGCCTAGGCAGCTTGGAACGTCGTGGATTTTCATTCCTTTTTATCACGCCTTGACATAAATAGCCGCTTCACTGGATCGAAATAGGGTTGATGGAATGAAACCTCACCCTGGCATAAAAAAAAAAAGAAAAAAAAAGAAGTTCCCCCTCTCTCATTTGCTTCCTGATTTTATCTTCCATTACTTTTATTCATGCCCTCGTCTGTCGTGAGATATACATTTTTTCTACATCTTGGGGCCTGCGTTTCAACTCCTGTATCTTATTGCGATGAGGGACAGTAATTCAAGGGCTTAGGATGCATGGCATAGATTTGCAGCTTAGATTTTACATCGGTCACCAACCAAACTCCCCTCAGCGCTTTTCATGATTTCTCGAATAAAGGAGAGATTGGTTGGTGACCGTTGGAAACAGGGGCCTTGTTATTTGAGAATGCCTGGTTTTCTTGGCGAGAAAACATCTTAGACTACCGGGAAGAACTCAGCTGCTTTCGGTTGTTTTCCTCAGCTTACAAAACGTGAAAGCGGGAATGTTTTCTCGGACCCCAAAACCAGCAGATTTATATTCAACATCAAACTTTATAGGAAGTTTAAAACTGCGTCGTTGAGACCAAAAAGAAAGAAAAAAAAGTTTAGTAGAGTTCTGAGGGTCTGCGAAAAGACTCCACGTCGAGGCAACCATTTTCTATATTCGTGACAGAACACAACATGGAAACCCTGACAGAGAGCAGAAAATAGAACAGTAACCCGTTCGTTTTCCGGACACGAACACGAAATTCGGAAAGCCGACGTGGGCAGGATGAGCGGAACAAGGATATTTTGGCTCAGAAAATGTTTCCTGGCGCATTGGTTTCTCTTCAGGCTGGCTTTTGTTCCCTTTTTGCAGGTGATCCTGTGGAAGTCGGAGTCACCATGTATGTCCTCAGTATATCAAAGGTCTCCGAAGTGCAAATGGTACTTGGCTTTCTTCGTTTTCCACATGCCAAAACTGAGAAAAGAAAAAAAAAAAAATTTTTAAAAAATATGTACTGTATCTGTTCTCTGTGTCCATGTCTGACTGCCGAGTCACTGGATCACTTTTTATTCCCGTTTACATCCGTCTTTTTACCTAGCCTTTCAAATGTGTGTTTTTCACAACTCGGAAAGATTTCTCCCACATCACACGAGACACACGTTTATGTCCACGATTGCCAGGGGGTTTATGGCCTTTGTACCGAATTGTCAAACCCTCCTCTTTTTGTCTCTTTCTTTTTTGAGTCTGTCTGAATGTGCAGCCGACTTCCTGTTGTGTTCCTCGGAATGCGGAGGTTTGATGTGTTTTCTTCCACGAGGGCAAGACTTTGTCCGTAGTCTTGGATTTTTTCCATTTCTTCTTCAGCCAAGTTCGCATGTCGCCGAATTTCATGGCAATCAGATTCGCATCGACAAAAATGGCATGATTTAAAACGTTGAGACTTTAAAATTAAGCCGATTTGGCTTTTGTATTGAGAAGACTCGAAAAACTTCTTTTTCCTGCAAAATGCATGCATGAAATGCTGATAACGTCCAGCGCATGTTTCAAGTAAGTGCTTTTAGGTTTTCCTCGGAATTTTATGCAAGCGGAAACTCTTCTTTGTGATCTTTGAAAGTGGCTATTTTAGAATCTTGAGAAAACATGTGCGCAAACAGATGCGCGTGAAAGAATCGATGTTCCAGGTTTCACGTAGCTGAAAAATTCACAAGAATCACTGGCGTGATGATTGGATATGAAAATTTACTTTTCAGCACCTAGAATATCCTGGTTTTATTTCATTTTTTGACGTTGGTCCACGTAGAGTTTTTCTTGAGTTTCCGGGGCTTTTCGTTGATTGTGTAACCCTCGGCCTAACTTGGTACACAACATTATATTTCAAGTCAACATTTTTCCTCTCATTTTCCCGGACAAAACATTCATTTGTCTAGAGAAGATAATACTTGGACAATTTTTTTCTGTCCAAATATATATATACATACTGGTCAGAGTTTCAATTCCTTTACCGTCGAATGCATGCGATTCTTTTTCTTATACGTATATATATACAAGGGAATGCGTCGATCGTTTTCTCATTTCTCAAAAGCCGTTGTTCCGGGGTGTCAATTGATTGATTTCTTTCGACTGTTCCCTCGGGGTATCGGATTCACCCCCGATGTGTAGGACTTCACTCTGGATTTCTACTTCCGGCAATACTGGAAGGACCCGCGTCTGGCGTTCGACGGGATCCTGAAACGGAAGCAGGAGCAGAACCCGGATATCCAGTTGCCTGCCCTTGATATCCTCACAGTGGGTGCGGAGTACATCAAGAAGATCTGGGTACCCGACACGTTTTTCGTGAATGAGAAAGAGTCGTATTGGCACACTGCAACCACGTCCAACGAGTTCCTCCGCATAGAGAAAGACGGCGACGTTTTTCGCAGCATTCGGTTAGATTCCTTTGCGCATTTTTCGGCAAATTAACGCGGAAGAAATCCAATAAACTGTACTGTATTACTCTACTGTATACTGTATACAAATTAAGATTATAGTGTGGTATTTGTCGTATTTGCCAAAAAAAAACGATTTGAAGAAAATTCCAGGAGACAAAAAAAAACTGTGTAGGCCGTAAAAAGTCACGATTCTGGGGGAAATGGGGCCAATGCAAAGAAAATTGGCCAGCCTTAACCATTCCATTAAATTTGTTCAAAATGTTTCAAGACACGTTTCTAATTATGTCTCATGCACAGGATATCTCAGTACCAGATAAATGACTTGAATTCAGATGAATAACACGCCCGTTAATGAACATTAAACAATTTCCTTCAATATTTTCTTTATTTTCAACTACTCCGCGATGTCTTCGAAAAATACAATACGGTATTTATATTCAATCCTGTCCAAATTTCCATCGGTTCTCGATCATTTTCGTGGTACTGCACTCTCATTAGAGCCACAATTGAATTTTCGTTACATATCGCAAACCATCTTCCAGCTGTATCAAAATTGGCAGACATTTTATTGACTGGAAACGCCTGATTCAATANCGAGGGCAAGACTTTGTCCGTAGTCTTGGATTTTTTCCATTTCTTCTTCAGCCAAGTTCGCATGTCGCCGAATTTCATGGCAATCAGATTCGCATCGACAAAAATGGCATGATTTAAAACGTTGAGACTTTAAAATTAAGCCGATTTGGCTTTTGTATTGAGAAGACTCGAAAAACTTCTTTTTCCTGCAAAATGCATGCATGAAATGCTGATAACGTCCAGCGCATGTTTCAAGTAAGTGCTTTTAGGTTTTCCTCGGAATTTTATGCAAGCGGAAACTCTTCTTTGTGATCTTTGAAAGTGGCTATTTTAGAATCTTGAGAAAACATGTGCGCAAACAGATGCGCGTGAAAGAATCGATGTTCCAGGTTTCACGTAGCTGAAAAATTCACAAGAATCACTGGCGTGATGATTGGATATGAAAATTTACTTTTCAGCACCTAGAATATCCTGGTTTTATTTCATTTTTTGACGTTGGTCCACGTAGAGTTTTTCTTGAGTTTCCGGGGCTTTTCGTTGATTGTGTAACCCTCGGCCTAACTTGGTACACAACATTATATTTCAAGTCAACATTTTTCCTCTCATTTTCCCGGACAAAACATTCATTTGTCTAGAGAAGATAATACTTGGACAATTTTTTTCTGTCCAAATATATATATACATACTGGTCAGAGTTTCAATTCCTTTACCGTCGAATGCATGCGATTCTTTTTCTTATACGTATATATATACAAGGGAATGCGTCGATCGTTTTCTCATTTCTCAAAAGCCGTTGTTCCGGGGTGTCAATTGATTGATTTCTTTCGACTGTTCCCTCGGGGTATCGGATTCACCCCCGATGTGTAGGACTTCACTCTGGATTTCTACTTCCGGCAATACTGGAAGGACCCGCGTCTGGCGTTCGACGGGATCCTGAAACGGAAGCAGGAGCAGAACCCGGATATCCAGTTGCCTGCCCTTGATATCCTCACAGTGGGTGCGGAGTACATCAAGAAGATCTGGGTACCCGACACGTTTTTCGTGAATGAGAAAGAGTCGTATTGGCACACTGCAACCACGTCCAACGAGTTCCTCCGCATAGAGAAAGACGGCGACGTTTTTCGCAGCATTCGGTTAGATTCCTTTGCGCATTTTTCGGCAAATTAACGCGGAAGAAATCCAATAAAGTGTACTGTATTACTCTACTGTATACTGTATAAAAATTAATATTATAGTGTGGTATTTGTCGTACTTGCCACAAAAAAAACGGTTTGGAGAAAATTCCAGGAGACAAAAAAAACTGTGTATATAGGCCGTAAAAAGTTACGATTCTGGGGGAAATGGGGCCAATGCAAAGAAAATTGGCCAGCCTTAACCATTCCATTAAATTTGTTCAAAATGTTCCAAGACACGTTTATAATTATATCTCATGCACAGGATATCTCAGTACCAGATAAATGACTTGAATTCAGATGAATAACACGCCCGTTAATGAACATTAAACAATTTCCTCCAATGTTTTCTTTATTTTCAACTACTCCCGCTACAGAAGCTTTTTATGTTATGCCATAAATATAAGTTAGGACAGGTTTAAAGGTAGCCAAGAGCTAGTAAAAGCACCATGACGTGAGAGTAATCTCGGTGTTAACTTAAAAGCAATGTATAGCGTAACCATCTTCCAGCTGTATCAAAATTGGCAGACATTTTATTGACTGGAAACGCCTGATTCAATACTGCAATTTTTAAACAAGAAGAGCAGAAAAAAGCTGCAAATTACAAATGGAACTTCCGTGTTCAAACTTCTGGACAAGGGTTTTTTGTTAACATTGTTAACATATATTTTTTATGGTTAGCATTGAAAACCATCAAAAATATATAATTGGCAAGAAGAATAGACCGAAATTATGAGTGAGGGTCAAATAAAATTAGATTGAAAATCCTCGGGAAGATCATAAAAGAAAATTTGAGTAATGTTCTCGTGCGAGTCGCTCATTTGCGAATAGGATCCTGTATTCGGAGGGGAAGCCATAAAATTATGCCAGGGCTTATATTAAATGAGTGGCCGTAATTTTATGGAGATACATGGTACCTATAATATAATAAATTACGAACTGGTGCACGAAATCAACGTCACTCATTACACTTGCTGAATAAAATTGCCAGTCGTTGTCGCTTTGATATGATCTGAACTATTAAGTGATTAATTTCAGTCGAGTGATTAATTACACTCGCCAACTTATCGCATACTCTATTTTCCTTGTTTTGTTTTTAATTTCTGCAGGAAGGCCTAGAACGCACTTTTTCCTGCTAAATATTATTTTTTTAAATCGATGAAATACTCATCTCACAATAAAATACTTCTCAATTTTTTTCCCGAAACTATGTATTGACAAGGGGTTCTAATCATCATTTTGTTCTTGATCAGATCCATTACAATATTAGGGGATACATCGATTTGCTTGGGTTAACTCGAAAAATGATCTAAATTCAAGAACGGTTCTTTGTCATTTCTTTTGGCTGAAAGACCCGTGCATCATGGCATTCAATTCTATTTTTTTTAGCAATTTTTGATTCCTCGGGAATTTTTCATCATCGCGGAATCGAAATTCAGCTTAAGAAAAATTTTAGTCGGTAAAAATTCGAATGGAAAAATTGGTTGACAGAACATGATCTATTTTAAGTATACATTCACGACTGCAAAAATCGTTGCTAGTGTGGGAATGAAAAAAGAATTCGATTTGTCATCAATTCAAAATAGATTTGTGTTTAGATGCTACTTAGTTTAATTATTTAATCAATCCATAGGAAGAATATTTGAGATGCAAATTGCATTTTAGTAGTCAATACAGCTTTCACAAGATTCGAATCCAGGAAAATTAATTTGAATGTTTCCATTTACCAGGTTGACAATCACTGCGTCGTGTCCGATGGACTTGCAATACTTCCCCATGGATCGCCAATTATGTACAATCGAAATCGAAAGTTGTGAGTACGATCCATTTCTTGGCTTTCGTCGGCTATGGAAAGTAGCCCAAAACTTGTATACCGTTATTCCCCAGAATTACTTTTTTATGGTTCCCAAAAACTAATCGTGGTAAAATTATTATTTGGATGAAGCTTTGTGTAACAAATGGAGTTTATTGACTTATGAGAGAGTTTAGAAAATCAGTTCTCTGGGGGGGGGGGGGGTAGCGGGTGAAGGGACTTGCTGCCCTCTGGCGGCGGGAAAGTGAGATATTCTCAATGGGTTTGAGCCGAGAACGACGGAAGCGAAGCGAAGAGTTTGCTGAAAAAAAATGAAAAGAGAAAAAAGAGCCTCTTACACTAACACGAACACGAAACCCTCACCGAAACACAGCATCGAAAAACAGAGCGATGGAGTCCGAGAGCTTTCTGCTTTTTTTTCCAGAGTGTTGCCTTCTTTTCATTGAGATGACGCTCTTATCCATGCCTCATTCTAGTTGGTTACACGATCTCGGACATTATGTATAATTGGCACTTGGGCTCCGACTCGGTGCGAGTGGCAGACGAGCTGCAGTTGCCCCAGTTTGAGATCCTGGGCTATAAACAAGTGCAGAAGCTTATCACACTTTCAACAGGTACTACGGATATCACTACGAATCATTTCCCCGTTCCATATTTGCTACATGCATGACACTGCGCCAACAGCGAAATATTTCCCAGTCTTGCACCGTTCACACTGCTTCCACGTGTCTTCTCCTTTTCTGTCTTAAACTCTTTATTTTCCTCTCGTTTTCGTTTCTTCTTTTGGTTGTTATTCGAAAAGCATCCGACTTTCGTAATGAGCTTGGGTTTGGTTTATTTTTTTCGATCGCGTTCTGCTCTGTGACGCCCGGCTCTGTGTTCTGTGCAGTCCAGCAGGTGTCACTTCTGTAGATGTGTGTCAGTAGCTGGCAACGATACAAGAAAGCCGCAGGTTATTACACGACTTCCATCCATGAATACAGAGTAGGTCTCTCCGTATACTGTATATACATACTGTACATAATTTTTTTTTGTTTCTTTGTTTCCACTCGTTGTTCTTTCACATGTGTCGTATATGTACTCGACAGAGCCATCAAACTCGACACTTCCGAGACAGTTCCACGCTAATAAGGGCGTAGACCCGACAGACCCTCAGCATGCCAATACATCCTCATGCTTCACACTCTTAGAATGAAAAGAAGTTTTCCTATTCTTTTTTTTTTTTTTTACTCAAACAAGTAGAAAACTCGTTGAGAATACTGAATACAACGATCGGCTGTACACTTTACGACGAGACACTGTTTTTCCACACATTCGAGACAAGTTTTATGATCGGCCGCCCGCTGGCGTCTTCCGTCTTCCCGGTCAATAAAATGGGGGCAAATTCGGGAATTACATGCTTTTTGGGTGGATTTCAGAAACTTTTCGGGGTTTATTTATTTATTTATTTATTTGTGTACAGTGCAGTATGTGAAGGGCGGGCGAGTTGAACGGACTTCCGCTGCTTCCAACCTCGACACTGTCAGATTTGCTAAAATTATGAGCTCATTCTTCACATTCCGAGAATAATGCGCCTTTACATGTAGGAATTCCGAGTTCAAGAAGCTGTCATAATGCGGAAAATTGTGCCATTCATGAGAAAAGCATGCCGGGAAAATAGATTTTTGTCCCACTATCTAAAAGCGAAATGGGTTAAAATACGACATCCCGAACAAAAGTGAACATAAGCCGATGCATCAAGAATGGATGTACAGTGTTTCCCTAAAAATAAACCCCTTAAATTGAATGATTTTTTAAATACTTTTTTAATTATTAAAACGAATGATAGCCGTGACTTCAAAATAAACTCGGATCACAGCACGTATATGATGTAACAGGGGGATGATGAGAAAATATTCTTCTCCTATACAAAGTGACCATATGATGCAACAAAAAAAACTTTCCACCTAAAACCAGTCTCTCCTGACCTTCTCAGTTACTTCAATCATTTTGATTTTGGCTTCAATCTGCCTCAAAAATGTTACAATCTTTCCAACATTCCAAAACATCAAAAAACTCAAAAATATTTGTTGTCTTGTTTTTAATATTAATGTATGCCCCATCTGAAGAAATTGTATGCCGTATTTTAAATGTGGATATTGTCTAAAATACTTTATTATATTACGATATATTCACTTCAGTGCCAGACAAACTTTTCCTCAGAAATTAATCTCCAAAAGTGGGATTCGCGTCATACTCAAGTGTACATTGTTCGCAAATTTCTTCATTTATTGTGCGTCATACTTTGAACTCATTCAGTGAAATTACGAAGAATATTTTAGAGACTAGAATGAGTAAATATGTATATATTATTCAGTCTTAAATAAAACTTGCAGTTGTAATTGTGAAGCAAAAACAAGCTGTGTAGTACAATTTAATTTTCATATACAGTTAATATTTTAACATTTATTTCTTTAAATAAGTTAGGTTTTGTGCCACAGAAGACATTTTTGCGCGTCGTATGCGGGCGTTTATTTTTCGAACGTACCGATGGTTTCTCAGAAATTATGGTCTTACATGGTACGTGATTTTTTTTCATGAGGCTTGATTTATTTTTGGGGAAACACGGTATATAGCTAACCATCGCAACAATTTTCCGCAATTTTGTTGGATCTTGGAGACAATTCTCAATTCTACGAGAAGTCATACTGTACGTGATTCCTCAGTCGATAATCAGTTTAAATTTAAATAGAGAAATTGTACAGAGTTTCCTTTTCTTTTTGGAGTCCAGTCGTGGAGTTTGTTCAATTTTCTGCCCGATACTGCGCGAAAAAATATGAAATGATTCAACTTGATTATGAATTAATAGGCCTACTGTCTTTAAGAAGGAAAGATAAATTTGGGATCAATCCGTTATTAGATCAGTTGTTTATTTTATCGAAGCTTTGGAGATCGTAGCTCACGTGATTAAATGAAACTCTTCGGAATTCCAGCCGCACTATATATGTGCGGTTGGCATTTTTTTCGCGAGAGAAAAAAAAATTAATAAAGCAATCAATCATCAACGGGTGGGTCGTCCTGTTGGCTCATTGGTTTATAACCTGGCTGACGTTGGAATTTCCGCAGTTGGTTACACTTTGAACGATATCAAGTACTCGTGGCAGAATGGGCCAACGTCAGTGGGCATGTCGAAGGACGTGTCTCTGCCGCAGTTCAAGGTACTGGGTTACCGCCAGAGGTCCATGGAAATCTCGTTGGCCTCAGGTACATGAGCCGAGTTGTCTGGTGAGGTGACGCATGAGTAATCCCGTTTTACTGCTCACACCCAGGTTCAGTTCATTTTGAATTTCTACCTCCCTGAAAGTTATAAGCGGTTCAATATTACGAGAAGAAGAAAAAATACACACACACACACACAAACACACTCACACAGTCACAAAGAAAAGGGAGAATTTGGTCTCGTGTGTGTGTTTCGTGAAAATGAACTGAACCCGGGAGGACAAAGCAGTGGACAAGGAGATCCCTACTTTTCCGAGGTTATGTGGGATGCCTGGACCATGCTGAGGGTAGTGTCAATGTGTGGTTGATCCGATGACCCTGCCGTTCAAAATGTTCTGCCCAAACCCGTATCCCTCTTCTTTATTGTTTCCTTCGGGTGTTCTCTCTCTTCATATATATCTCGTCCATCTGATATTTACAAAAATATTGAGGAAAAGAACATAAAAGCAGACTGACTGACATTGTAATGCTCTGCAAGAGAATGTTCATGCCCCATATAGGGAAGTAAGCTTCGTATATGTCACGTTTGGCAGACTGTATATAGGAGAAAAATGGACGTCTCTGTGAGACATGCACAATGATGAACTTATTACGAACAACTAGGCTTTGTTGATTGTTGTGAAACGAAATTACATTTCAGCAGTTGAAATACGTCAGGTCGACTTTAGCTGATTAATTCAAGTCGTAGCTCGACTGAACACATACAGTACTGTACTGATCTTCGCGAACACGCTAATTTGATTAAGCTTTCACAGTATTTTTAAAAAACCATTCACTGTTTATTTTGTGGATTCTTGAAACACGTTTCACTGGAAAAGTAAAATGTTCATCATTGTTTATTTGGCCACTTCGGAAGTTTCGAACACAGAATAGGAAAATTTTCACGATGGTTTATTCCGCGAAAGATGGAAACACGGGTGTTGGCTTATTGTTGTTCACGAATGTGTGTTTCATGTGATTTGGTAGTTTCCTGGAATGTTGATGCAGCCAGTTGGAATGTTTGAATATGCATAAATCGAAGAATCTTTGCATGGTTTTTGTTGTTGTTGCTTGAACGTGTTTCTTTCGTGTGCAATAATTCGCATGGCACTTTTGATATGGGTCCCCCTGTCCCTTTTTCCGCTATATCCGTGCTAATCGGTGTGAAGCTTGCCATGTTTTATTTTTTTTTACCGACTATTCTTGTGCTTTTCCACGTATTTTTGTGGGGACATATTCGGCTGATGATTTTTTCAGAAGTCAACAAATCGGAGCTACAAAGATTAAATCATGCCGATCAACTGCGCATCTCTCAACTTGAAGCTTTTGGCACTTTAGTGTGTGTGTTTGAGTTTCGCGAATAAGAACACAGGCTTTTTTTTTGACTATACGTGCAATTCCCGCTTTTCTTGTTGCCCACATTTTAACAAATTAACAGAGCGCAAGTTCAATTTTTTCCTATTTTTAATTTTATTTTTCGTGCCCTTATTGAGATGTGGGTCTTAAAAAGTGACCCGAACGATGAACTTTAAACATTTTCGCTGTGGAAAGAGGTATCGTATATCATTTTAATGCCAAGTCAAATTTAGAGAATAAATTCATTCATTTGTCTGTGAGAGATTAGGATTACATTTTTTTTAGATTATTTCGATGAAAACGACAATATTTGGTTATAATCACTCGACTCGCTCTTTTTTTTCAAGACTTCCCTTTGTCAAGGAAGGGCACTTATGTCCAAGTATGTCAGACGGCCAATTACGTCACAAAGTTGGATTTTAAAAATGAAAGATGATGCGCAGTTGATGGCGGAGGAGAGTCGCGGGCGTCGGTTGCGGCGGCGCCCCGGGGTTTTTTTTTTTTGCTGATGATTATCGCCGCCACAGGGAACTATTCGCGACTGGCTTGCGAGATCCAGTTCGTGCGGTCCCTGGGGTTTTACCTGATCCAGATCTACATTCCCTCGGGCCTGATCGTGGTCATTTCCTGGGTTTCCTTCTGGCTCCACCGGCAAGCTTCACCCGCCCGAGTGGCCCTAGGGGTCACCACTGTTCTGACCATGACAACGCTGATGTCGTCCACAAATTCGGCGCTCCCGAAAATATCTTACGCAAAGTCTATTGATGTCTATCTGGGAGTGTGCTTTGTGATGGTCTTTGCAGCGTTACTAGGTGAGAAGTAACCCCCGAAAATAGCCCCCCCAATCCACGCCTCCGCATTTTAGCGAATCCGAAGCGCAGACAGAAGCCATTGGCTTGGTTGCCTCCGCGGGGATTGGCCATTGTTTTTGTTCCTTTTTTATTTGTTAAGAAATAGTCTGTTTTCGCGAAATCATTTTTTGCGACACGCTCCGAGAAAGGTATTTATAATACGAGAAGAATCGAGTGCGGGGGAAAAAAAAAGAGGGGACGGGGAGACTGTTGTTGCACACAAATGAAACACGATGTAGCCTCCCTTATGTTGAGGGTACGTTTATTGTGTGGGCAGACATTTTAGCAAGTATCTTCCACAGTTCTTTCGAAGCATGGCGATCGCTATTCTTTTTTTTTTTAATTTTCTTCTATGTACGTGTTTCTTTCAGCACCCGGGAGTGCAAGTTTCCTGCCTATGTGTTTCTGGAATTATGTCCTCACTTGTTCCACTCATATCCTGTACTTGATAGGCATGAACGAGTCAGAATCACGAAGCCGGAACGGCTTTTATTGCTGATTTTCTATTTTGCATTTTATTTCAATATCCTCACGAAGCCGAACATGAACGGATTTCAATAGGGAGTCTTTCGTTTCATATGCATGCGCAGCGGACCTCGGAAATAAACGGGAATCGGCCGGACGTTGAACAAACCGGATTTCGCAAAATTTGAAATCGTATCTCACTTAATTGAAAATAAAGTCAATTACTTGTGCGAAGAATGCACTTTTTGAGGGGAAAATCTCGAAAAGGAAGTCTTTTCAGGCGTTATTCGAACACCGCAATTCCTTCTGGGACAGTTTTAATATTTGACTGTTTAGGAAGAAACCGGGTTCTTTTCTATAACGAAATTTAATATAAACCTTCCAATAAAGGTCTGCTGGCTTCAAAATCTACAACCATTTATTTATTGGTTTATTTTGCGCAAATAATCTGAACGTATATAATATGTGGCATCTCCTTTGGCAACCATCCGTTATTTGAGATCAACAATACTGTAATTCGTTACAGAAATAATATATTTGTGAATAATCTACGCATTTTTTAAATTGTGAACCAATTGAAGGTGTTCGAGGAGCGAAGAAAATGATCGTTGTACCGGGAATATTATGATAGACAATCACGGTTACATTAAAATTCACATCATGTTTCGCGTATTCTCTGTCAATATTCGATATGCCTTAAAATATTGTACCATCTTCAGCAAAGTTGTCTGCGCAAGGAATTTTAAAAAAATCGTAGTTTGGATACGAACTCCGGGGTTTTTCGGGGTCTGAGCAGTTTCCAATCCACATAATTATTATTTTGTTCTTTGGAGCATTCGGCTGACAAATGTATTCCTTCTGTTTTCTGTTCCTAAATTCCTGCGGTTTCTAGGGAACTACTCGAGGCTGGCATGCGAGATACAGTTTGTTCGCTCCCTCGGCTTTTATCTGATTCAAATTTACATCCCATCCACGTTGATCGTGGTGATATCCTGGGTGTCCTTTTGGCTCCACCGCACTGCGTCTCCTGCTCGAGTGCAACTGGGAATAACGACTGTGCTCACCATGACTACCCTCATGTCTTCAACAAACGCGGCTTTGCCCAAAATTTCCTACGCAAAATCCATTGATGTCTATCTTGGCGTGTGCTTCGTCATGGTCTTTACCGCACTTCTCGGTGAGCAAAATCTCGCTGGTCGGGTGGGCGGGGGGCGGGGACGAGAGAAGAAGAAGAAGAAAAAACCCACGGGGCCGTCTTGGAGGATTGGTCAACCCACCCCACAAAGAAAAAAAAACTATACTGGTCTCACCCACACTAAAACGCAGAGACCCCCGTTTTTCACTAACCTCCTGATATGAGTGGAACCAAGGTTCGAGGGCTGGGTTTATCCCTCTTGTTCAATCCCCGGAACCCTATACTTTCTTCATAGCTGTAGCACCGCCGGAAGGAACGACGGAATTCTTCTTCAGGTTCCTCTCAGATAGACTATGTGCCTCCTTCTTAAGACTGTTTTACATATTCATGCATTATTTACTTTGTCTAAATTTTTTATGCATGAGCAAAGCCCCTGCCTCCGACCCCCCGAATCTTTGACCAAGCCTCTCCAAAGTAGAGTCAATATCATCCTTGTACAAACATTTCCTCTGCAGATCTCTGAGTAAGAAAAATACGTGAAATTGAAATTTACTGTAGGTTCGAAACAGAGTTTTCTTCTTAATAACTTCTTTATTTGTACGTTTCTGACTCATACCTGAATGACTGCAAAGAAAAATACTGCAGTAAATAATAGTTTTTCCATCTACTAAACTTGGATTTTTAATTGAATTTGACGATTGCCAACGATTATTCGTAAATTTTTACATTTTACATCTGCAAAAATAACTCTTCTTAGCTATAGTCGGGGAAAAACAGTACAATAATACGTGTTCTAATGCAATTTTTAATTACCTTAATATCTTTATGATAGTGCCTGAGCATGTGCGATTCTCTGTGATTTTTGAAAGCATTATAAATTGAGTAGAAGCCGTAAATTATTTTTTCATCAATGAGATCAAGAGATAATTTTAATCACGTACAGTGTGTCATAATTGAGGATTAAAAATTACTTGATAAATTTCAAGCTTTATTTTTTCATATCTTTCTTGTTGCGTTCTTCAGCAGTTTGTGCCTTGACAACGGATCTTCTGAGTCACTTATAAAATATGATGGAATCATGATTGTAAGACATCCAGAAAGAGGATACAGCATTGACATATGACTATATAAATGATTCTTTGCATGTAAATCAATGGTTGCTTGCAGTATCACAGTATGACCAAACTATTTCAACCGAAAGTTTTCTGCTGTGATAATGCATATCTGAAGTGTCTACTTGCTTGTTTCATTCTGTATTACCAATCAAACTAAATTAACTAACATCGAATTGGGACTTCCAAAACCACGAACTAACCAAGTTATGTTGTAAAAAAGATTTTGCATGTCTAATGTATCCGATGTATTTTTAAATAGTAAAAAGAAGTGTGCAGAATTTCAATTTATTGACTCTTGTTGCAACAAAGCCATTGGGATCAGAGAAAACCTTCGTCCTAATGAAATTTGTTGCAACAAGACTTAAAAAAAAACGTATTAAGAACCTCAACATTTTTAAAAGCAAAAATGATTTTCATAATGAGTTTTTAAAAACAATGTTCTATTGCATCATAATTTTAGTACCATGGGTTCTTCTCTAACAAGCGCAATCCATCCTAGGAATGTGTTTTTCATGCTGGGACGCTTGTTAGCTGGATCTTATTTTTCAGGAACTATTTTAATGCCTGAACAATTGTAAATCTTTGGGAAAAATTTTTGCGGTGGATTAGTGTGTGTTAGCTGGGATTTTTGTGAGCCTTAAGTACAGTAAGACCTTCTCTTTATTTCATCGTAAAGAGTATCGTATCATGCGAAAAGATCCATTGAGTGGACAGCTTTGTAAAATTTAATTACCAATGTTTTTATTTGAATCCGCCGTGAAAATATTTTTCATTTGATGACTGTGGAGGAATTGTTGTACAAGATTGATGTTTTTCCTTGTGAAAATTGAAGGGTGAAGCTGCGCGGTTGATGAGAGTCTGAAATGGTGTATGAGCAACAGCTGGTTGGGATATTAGCAATAATAGTGCATCTCTGGATGATGGATTTTCTTGTCGGTAAAAGAAAGAAGGGAGACGTGGCATTCCAGGACGGATTTAAACAAAGAAGAAACATACCGTATATATGTGCTCTTTTACCTTGCACCTGTTTGAAATCCATTTTTTGCATTTTGGTTGCACCCGAGGTGGAACAAGAAGAGTCGTAAGAGGGGGGGGAAATGCCCATGGGAGAGACACAAAACGAAGCATTGTGAATGTATTTTTCTGCCGCTTTTGATCTTTCTTTACTTTTGCCCATGTTTCATGTTCCTTCAAGTATGAAGCTCCCGGTTTCCGTTAGTTGGACACTTAGTGTGCTCGTTTATTTCCTTGGGTTTCCGTTCTCGTTTATTCTTCCGACGAGAGAGAAGCGAAAAAAAATGGAGGAATAAAAGAAGGCGGCGGCCATGCTGAGCCTGTTGTCTTTCTGACAGGAAACTACTCTCGCCTGGCTTGCGAGATTCAGTTTGTGCGGTCCATGGGCTACTACCTGATTCAGATTTATATCCCGTCTGGCCTCATTGTGGTCATTTCCTGGGTTTCCTTTTGGCTGAACCGAAATGCCACGCCTGCCAGAGTTGCACTCGGCATCACTACCGTGCTGACCATGACCACTCTCATGTCCTCAACCAACGCTGCTCTGCCAAAAATATCCTATGCAAAATCCATTGACGTGTACCTGGGAGCTTGTTTCGTCATGGTGTTCGCGTCTCTTCTTGGTAAGGGTTGGCTGGTTGTCAGATGATAACAGTAACTACGAGAGAAAGAAAAAAAAAACCACAAACGAGCTCCTTCTGGTCCAACCCCTGTCAAAAGACTTCCCCGCCCGTTTAAGAAATGAATTAAGTTTATTTGCCCACGCCCGGATTTTCCTGTTTGTTTGTCAAACAAACCCCCTTGTTTAGTCTCTGAATTCGTAAACTATTCCACACAGGATTTTACGTTTCCAAAATTGATTACGTGTTCAGTTTTTTTTTTTTTATATGGCATAAAAAGAGACCTTTAAACCGATCACGGATGGCCAATCCTCTAGGAAGTTAATTGGGCCTCGAATAAGCCGATTCGGCTTTCTGGACGGGATTCTTCGATTGGTTTGGGGGTTTTTCCTTCGGTTTGTTCCGGTTTTCTGTTCCACATTTATAAATTTATTCAGAAAACCAGGCCAAAACGAGCCATTCATCCCGGGTTTCCGCTGAATTCGTCCCTTCGCATTTTATCTGGGAAAGAATCGAAGAATTTCGGCAAAACCCGAATCCAGTTGCTAACGCAAAATTTATTTGCCCCAGACTACGGTCTTATGCGGTGACACCCGATGTAGCCGTTCTCCTAGGTCTACGCGTTCTGTGCATAAAACCGGTACGTTTTTAACCGTCTCTTCTTCTTGGGAGGAGGCTGTTCGACCCTCTACGGAAGTCATCCTCACGGTCCTCCTGTGCTGGACCCGGAATGGACTCCGAAACAAACAGTGGGTATACTTTTACTCAACGAAAAGCTTTAACCAAAATATACCGTACTCTACAGTACTGTTTTTGATAAACGTATTGTACAAATTTAAACATCGAAGGCATTGCATTCACATTAAAAATTCAAGGTAACAAACAGGGAAGTTTCTTCACTTTTCCATTTTAGTGCAGCTGCATTATAACGTGAGAAACAAACGAGGGTCCCGATAAAGCAGAATCAGCGAGATGATATGAAAGAAATTGAGCAGAAAATACACAAGAAACAAACAGGAAACAAATATAACAGCTGCTGCTAAAAATTGTTATATTAAAAATGATTCTCAACAGTTACATTGGAAGCGCAAAATTTGAAAACCATTATTCATTGAAGTTAGGGTACACGACCATTTTATTCAGTAAAATCTAAAAAAAAAACCACTAAAACACCAAGAAAAAATAATTTTTATTAATGAATTATTTATGAGCTCAAATAAAATTGTAGCTACCGGACAGCGAACTAAAAACAAATATGTTGAAAGCAAAAATAAATTTTCACAAGATTTTTTGACGATACTACATCATTGCCATTAAAATAGTAATTTTTGCTAATTATAAAATTGTTAGCAGAAATTATTTCTTCACATGGGTAGTTCTCCCAGTCAAGTTTTCTTCTGAAGACGAAGTTATAGAAAAACTTTAGGTTGTTCTGTAAACAATTTGCTCTCCAGGAAATTTGGTGTTCACAACCGTACTGAATACATGAATGATCGTTGACAATTTCCTCACCGTTTCACTGGCCAATCGCATTAGAAAGGTTTGGAAACTTGGATAAAAAAAACAAGCTTAACATAACTTGAAACCTAACCAGTTTGAAATAATCTCTATCTAACAAAATATACTGTACAGCTAGTGTAACAAAACACCTTCCTGAAGTAACCTAACCTTATCAACCTAACTTAATACTCACCCCGCAGTGCGTCACTGCAAATAAATTGCATTTATTGCCTGAAAGAGGGATAATATCCGAAATTCCGAACACTGATGTTATAAGACTTAATATGATTGTGATTCACTTTAATCATCCGAAATATCATGACAATAAATTATGGTGTGTGTGTGTCGCAGCATTCGCAAAATGCTAGTCACGTCAGTCGTTCGCTACCCCGTGCCATTTTTCTGTCCAAGGTTCGCCTCTTTTGGTGCTAAATTACCTCATAAAAACTGCTCCGGATTATGACACATCTCACCATATTTGGTTCGCCTGGCGCAAATGAAATTTGGATCAAATACTGTATATTTAATGTGCTGTGTAAATTTTGGGTGGGTATAGTCAACTTATAATTATATACTCGAAAATTGTTTGAACCAGATACAGGACATGCCGCGGATTTTTATTATTTTTTGAGCGTAAGAACAAAAAAGAATTGGTTTAGTGGTGCATTTGAGGACTTCATGCTTTGACAAGAGCGACTGAGGGGGAATTATTGAATTATGAAGAAAGCGAAACATGTTTTCCGGTTGATGGCTGACGGAGGCACCTGGTGGGCGGGCAATTTTCTATCTTCAGTTTTTCCCGCACTCGTTTTGCCACCAGGAGGTCCGGTATAAAATCAACGATCCCAAGATGCACACCAAGGGCGGCACGCTGGAGAATACGGTGAACGGCGGGCGGGCCCGGAGCCACGGGCACATCCATTCCCATACGCACGCCCACGCGCACGCACACGCCCACTCGTCGCTCGTGCACGGCCCGATTGGCAGTCACNGTCTGATGCCAGAATACGCCACTGTGGGCTACATCGGCAAGAGGATCCAGATGCGCAAGACACGTATTTTGGCCATGCAAAAATTGGCAGAGAAGAAGAACCCTCCTCCGACAAGCTGGGAGATGCCGAGTCATCCTCACGGTCCTCCTGTGCTGGACCCGGAATGGACTCCGAAACAAACAGTGGGTATACTTTTACTCAACGAAAAACTTTAACAAAAATATACCGTGTTATACAGTACTGTATTCGATAAACGTATTGTACGAATTTAAACATTGAAGGCTTTAAATTGCATTCACGTTCAAAATTCGAGGTAACAAACAGGAAAATTCCTTCACTTTTCCATTTAACTGCAGCTGCATTATAACGTGACAAACAAACGAGGGTCCCCATAAAGAAGAATCAGCGAGATGAAATGAAAGAAATTGAGAAGAAATTACACAATAAACAAAAAGGAAAAAAATATAACAGCTGCTGCTAAAAATTGTTGATTAAAATGATTCTCAACAGTTAAATTGGAAGCGCAAATTTTGAAAACCATTATTTATTGAAGTTAGAGTACACTTGACAATTTTATCCAGTAAAATCTAAAAAAAAAATGCCACTAAAAGACCAAGAAAAAATAATTTGTTATACCGAAATATTTATTAGTTCAAATAAAATTGTGGCTATCGGAGAGCGAACTAAAAAAATCCGTTGAAAGCAAAAATTAATTTTCACAAGATTTTTTAAAGATACTGCACAATTGCCATTAAAATATTCATTGTTGTTAATTAACGAACTTTTAGCAGACATTATTTCTTCACAAGGTTAATTCTCCCAGTCAAGTTTTCCTATGAAGACGAAGTTGTAGAAAAATTTGAGGTTGTTCTGTAAGCAATTTGCTCTCCAGGGCATTTGATGCTCAAAAACGTACTGAATACATGAAAGATCGTTGACAATTTCCTCACCATTTCACTGGCCAATTGCATTAGAAAGGTTTGGACACTTGGATTTGTAAAAAAAAAAAAAACAAGCTTAACATAACTTGGAACCTAACCAGCTTGAAATAATCTCTATCTAACAAAATCTAATGTACAGCTAGTGTAACAAAACACCTTCCTAAAGTAACCTAACCTTATCAAGCTAACTTAATACTCACCCCGCAGTGCGTCACTACAAATAAATTGCATTTATTGCCCGAAAGAGGGATAATATCCGATCACTGATGTGATAAAACTTAATATGATTGTGATTCACTTTAATCATCCGAAATATCATGACAATAAATTATGGTGTGTGTGTGTCGCAGCATTCGCAAAATGCTAGTCACGTCAGTCGTTCGCTACCCCGTGCCATTTTTCTGTCCAAGGTTCGCCTCTTTTGGTGCTAAATTACCTCATAAAAACAACAATAAATTATGGTGTGTGTGTGTCGCAGCATTCGCAAAATGCTAGTCACGTCAGTCGTTCGCTACCCCGTGCCATTTTTCTGTCCAAGGTTCGCCTCTTTTGGTGCTAAATTACCTCATAAAACTGCTCCGGATTATGACACATCTCACCATGTTTGGTTCGCCTGGCGCAAATGAAATTTGGATCAAATACTGTATATTTAATGTGCTGTATAAATTTTGGGTGGGCAGTCAACTTATAATTATATACTCGAAAATTGTTTGAACCAGACACAGGACATGCCGCGGATTTTTATTATTTTTTGAGCGTAAGAACAAAAAAGAATTGGTCTAGTGGTGCATTTGAGGACTTCATGCTTTGACAAGAGCGACGGAGGGGGAATTATTGAATTATGAAGAAAGCGAAACATGTTTTCCGGTTGATGGCTGACGGAGGCACCTGGTGGGCGGGCAATTTTCTATCTTCAGTTTTTCCCGCACTCGTTTTGCCACCAGGAGGTCCGGTATAAAATCAACGATCCCAAGATGCACACCAAGGGCGGCACGCTGGAGAATACGGTGAACGGCGGGCGGGCCCGGAGCCACGGGCACATCCATTCCCATACGCACGCCCACGCGCACGCACACGCCCACTCGTCGCTCGTGCACGGCCCGATTGGCAGTCACGGCGCCCTCGGCCCGCATTCCCACCACACGCTGCCCGCGCATGGCGTGGACCATTATGGCCGCGCCCGGCGCGAGCAGGAGTACCCCGATGACGACATCGAGGCGCCGCCTCCGGGCAGTGCACCTCCTGTGCCCGGCCCACCGCCTCCTGGACCTGTCCAGGTATGACATCTTGCCAATGTGATAACTCTGAACTCTGAATAACCGGGGCCCGGAAACGAGGCACCGCGGGATACCTTGGAATTGAGCGGCTTCATTTACCTCAAGTTTGACGAACTATCCGTGCTCATAAACTTCGAAATTTGACATAATAATATCTGCGATACCGTAGAATTCAAGGTTATTCTTGCTATTCTATTTTCACAACATTGCTTCGAAGTTTTCAACATTGCACAAACCTAATTCAACTGATTTTAGATTGGATTCCTTTTTATTTATTTTTTCAATGAGTCAAGCATTTCCATGAGTTACTCAAGTCCAGAATAATGCAGACCTAAACCTTTAAAAAATTGAAAACCTTCATAACCTTCTACAAGACACGACCTTCTTTTTCACTTAATTGTGAAAAAATACGAAAATTGAAAATACTGAGTAAATAAGGTCGTTCGATTAATTTTCAATAAAGCAAATTTACAATTATTGGGACAAGTTGAATTATTTCCTTGTTCCGGTGCTTCATGATGCCGAAGACGACGTGAACTCCGAATGAATTAATTTATACTGGGATATCTTAATTAATCTTGCCGTCTTTTTTGCGCCCTCGGTTAGGTCACTGCAGCGGCCATCTTACCACATCACAACAAGGACCTCAACAAGCTCTATGGCCTGACCCCGAGTGATATCGACAAATACTCTCGCATCGTGTTCCCCGTCTGCTTCGTGTGCTTCAACCTCATGTACTGGATCATCTACCTGCACATCAGCGATTTCGTGGTCGACGACCTCGTTTTCCTCAACCCCGAGTGAAAGCCGTTCATCTTTCAAATCTTTTGCGAACAGGTTTCGCTCCTGTGCGCGCGCCCATGTTTGCTCAACGGTCTCATTCGTCACGTATTCGCGACGTGCTGGAAGAAAAGGTTATTGCTAGAAAGAGACAGAGAGACAAGAAAAAGGACGAAAAGGAAAGAGACGTGGTTCTATGAGTAGATGAACCAACGAGAGAGAGAGAAAAAAAAGATTTGATTATGAGTTTTCCTCTGGAAGAAGGAAATCGTAGATTACCGATTTATTTTCAAAAAGAAAAAGGAAACGGTTTTTATATACAAGTGGGGGTGTTAACCGGCTCGCATACTTACACGGCATTGATCCTTGCGACAAAGATTACCTTTTCGGGCTTGTGAAAAAGAAAAGAAGAACCAAATATAGAGAAGAAATGTTCCTCTGCATTTCTTAATCCGCATCAGCAAATTGGAAAGCATTTTCTTATTTTTTTCCCAGTAAGTAATACAAAGTTTTAGAGGGTTTTCTTGTCTCAAAATGTGCTGTTGAGTAACTTGAAGCTTCGAACTATTGTAGAACATGTTTTTTACAATACTGTATTTTCAACTATATCTGTATGATCACGAACACTTTTTAACATTACCTAAACAATAGTCCGTTTTCTCAATAAAGTTACTTCTTAAATTAAAACGGCTGAGAAATATTTCATGGAACTTGTCCTTTCGATAAATATAATTAATTTTCAGTCGCGTGCGTAAAAGCCTTTCACCTCCAAGAAATTTCTGCTGAAGATTTTAATTTTTCCAACGCTAAAAAATTGAAGCAAAGTTGTTTGGATTTCCTTTGCTGATGTTTGCTGATGAGGATTCAAGCGACTACAGATGGAATAAAAATTTGGTGCTGCGTAAACACTAGCTCCCTTGAAAGATACATAAAGTTGAGTGTGATTTTTTGCCCCGTTGGGCGAATGAAAGATTTCCAGGATCTTCATTCAATTTTTTTAATGCCATATCGGAGGCACACTTGTACGCATTAAAAAAGAAATGCTAGGAAAATCAGCTCGCTTTCTCCCCGTAAGCAAATATTTCCCCATTCGTCTGGACTTTCAGAGAGTTTTGAAAATAGGGAATGAAAACTGTTCGGTAGTTGTTGATGAAAGAAAGGAGGAGAAGGTGGAGAAAAAGGCACACGAGTTGCTGTGATTCAGTTCAGCGGAAGCTGTTTTTTTTTCGCGAAAAAGGGGGTAAATTCGGAAGAAGAGTGGGAAAAAAGAGGGGGTGAAAATGCTGTGTTCATCGGAGCAAACGTTTCTTCGTCTGAGACACTCACGTTTTGTATGAAAGACAGACTTTGAAGGCTTAGAATAGACTGATATTCTCTCTTCGTTTCGCTGAAGTGAGGCAAGAGCTTCAATGATTTCTTCCCCGTTATTTTTCTTTACGTTCGGCTGAAAGAATTTGAGTTGATACGTTTTTTTTTCTTTTCAATATTGCGAATGAGGCTCAAGAGAATTTTTTCTTGATTGATACTCTCGATGCTCAACTGATTGTATGCGAGTGACTTTTTCCTGAGCATAGGTGGTTTGTTCAATGCTCTTCTTCGGCTCTAACCTTCGTGGATGATTAAAACATCGCCACCTTTTTCCAACAAATTATCCAAGAATTTTATTTATCCTCTCGTTTGAACTGATTCGAGCCTGAAATCCAGAAGTTACCATCATTTTTGGTTCTGTATCCATTAAAGTATATTTTCGAAGATTTTTGCACAGAACTCGGACATAGTTTCAATGTAAAAAATATATATACGGTAAAAATACTTCAAATATGAATCTTTCATGTGCGCTCTACAGAAATTGCGCTTCTGTTTCACACACAAAATTTGTATACACTGCTCTGCCCGCGATCCAAATTGGAAGTGTCTCATCCAAATTCAGTTTAGTACATTTCAGTGGATTCTAAAATTATTCAGAGCGCGCAGATCAACAAAATTGCAATTCTAGATGATTAAAAATGACAATTCAAATGAGTCTTATATGAACCTTGTTATTCCCCGCGCACAGGAGCAAACCAAGAAATGGTACATCGAAAATGTTTTCAGTGTTCGAATTTAAGCGTGGTATAAAACAGCTAAAATCTTCCAACAAGACGGTACATAAAAAATCTGGAGATCCTGAGCTTTTCAGAAATGTTCGCGAGGATTTTTTGAAAATGTGTTGCTCAATGAGATTTTCGGAAACTTCAGGTCATTTTATGTCAATGAATAATCCAGAAATTTCAACACCCAGCCAACGACATCTGAGCATTCGACGATAAATTAAAATTCCAATGCGTACAGGGAAATTTCAAATCATGATTTTAACGACACATATTGTCACAACCACGCACATCAATGACTCAATGCTCTTGAACAACTAGCATTCAAATTCATTCCAAACGACGACACAATTAAGGGTATGGAATAAGGTGAGAGAAGATGCTTGTGACCGAAAAGATTTACTTCTCGTTCTTCTTGAGCGGAAACCTCATTGAAAGGCACTTGAACCGGATTTGTTGGTTCAAACACGAGCCACTTCGGGAATCCTGTCATAGTTCGTACCTGATCCCTTAGCTATTTCCATCACTGCTTTTGTGGTTGTGCCGATAAATAAAACGAAGCCAAAGAGCATGTAAAAAAACGATGCAACAAGCAAGATTTTTGATCTCCTCTTCTCGGGCCAAAATCCTTTCTTGTCCGGGTCTTCTTGGACAACGTTGAACAAGCAAAGACAATACTCTCGATGCTCAACTGATTGTATGCGAGTGACTTTTTCCTGAGCATAGGTGGTTTGTTCAATGCTCTTCTTCGGCTCTAACCTTCGTGGATGATTAAAACATCGCCACCTTTTTCCAACAAATCATCCAAGAATTTTATTTATCCTTTCGTTTGAACTGATTCGAGCCTGAAATCCAGAAGTTATCATTTTTGGTTCTGTATCCATTAAAGTATATTTTCGAAGATTTTTGCACAGAACTCGGACATAGTTCCAATGTAAAAAATATATATACGGTAAAAATACTTCAAATGTGAATCTTTCATGTGCTCTCTACATAAATTGCGTTTCTGCTTCACATACAAAATTTGTATACACTGCTCTGCACGCGATCCAAATTGGAAGTGTCTCATCCAAATTCAGTTTAGTACATTTCAGTGGATTCTAAGATTATTCAGAGCGCGCAGATCAACAAAATCGCAATTCTAGATGATTAAAAAAGGCAATTTAAATGATTCTTATATGAACCTTGTTATTCCCCGCGCACAGGAGCAAACCAAGAAATTGTTCATCGAAAATTTTTTCTGTGTTCAAATTTAAGCGTGGTATAAAATCCAACAGCTAAAATTTTCCAACGAGACGGTATATAAAAAATCTGGAGATCCTGAGCTTTTCAGAAATGTTCGCGAAGATTTCTTTAATATGTGTTGCTCAATAAGATTTTGGGAAACTTTAGGTCATTTTATGTCAATGAATAATCCTGAAATTTCAACACCCAGCCAACGACATCTGAGCATTCGACGATAAATTAAAATTCCAATGCGTACAGGGAAATTTCAAATCGTGATTTTAACGACACATATTGTCACAACCACGCACATCAATGACTCAATGCTCTTGAACAACTAGCATTCAAATTCATTCCAAACGACGACACAATTAGGGGTATGGAATAAGGTGAGAGAAGATGCTTGTGACCGAAAAGATTTACTTCTCGTTCTTCTTGAGCGGAAACCTCATTGAAAGGCACTTGAACCTGATTTGTTGGTTCAAACACGAGCCACTTCGGGAATCCTGTCATAGTTCGTACCTGATCCCTTAGCTATTTCCATCACTGCTTTTGTGGTTGTGCCAATAAATAAAACGAAGCCAAAGAGCATGTAAAAAAACGATGCAACAAGCAAGATTTTTGATCTCCTCTTCTCGGGCCAAAATCCTTTCTTGTCCGGGTCTTCTTGGACAACGTTGAACAAGCAAAGACCTGAACAAAGAAATTATCACTGAAGATGAGATGACAAAAGAAGCATCCACGTCACAGTTCAAAATTGAACAGACGGTAAGCTAATCTTCCTTTATAGGAATTGAAACAAGCTACGGTCCTTTAAAATAAGACCTAAAGCACAAATAAGACAGAGCTCAAAAATAAGGCTTAAACCCAAAAATACGGACTGAACCAAAAATAATGCCTAACCCAAAAACGTAAACCTTTCTCCTTTCTTGGGCTAGGCAGCATCATTATGATTTTTATACCTCAAAGTGAGATACCATACTCAAGTTCCACGCACTCTCATGGACCACCAGTCTGAATTTGCGAACTGTTGTGCACAAGAGCACAGAAGTAAACAAAAATCTGGATTGAGCAGCACAGCCTAAGCTGGGAAAAGTCTGACATTTTCACCTTTTGTTTAAAATGTTGACGGAAAATAACAAAAAATCCCCACTGCATGGCATTTTTTCTGCATTCAATCCATAGGATTAACATTGAAGGATTAAAAAAAATACAGAAGGTTTTTTTTTCCCAGATTTTCCCCAACTTCGGCTGATCAGCCCAGGCTGCACTTCAGTGACCTTTGGTCAAGCCAAAATGTACCTTTGTGAAAAAGAACTCCTGCCCCACCATGGGATGGAAATGTACATAATACTGTAATACAGAATGCTACCACCCTCAATAAGGGTTAAAAAAGGCACCACTCCAAGATTTTTGGGACACAAATTGGATAAAGAACGGATCCCAGCAAAAGACCTGCGCCATAGTTTTCTGGGGGAATTCCATAATCGTTCATTCGATTTTATAGTGAGCTCATGAAAGGGAATTCAATTTGACAAATGATAATGCGAAAAAAAATCAGGATAACGAGTGAAATCCATAAAACTCGGATCAGCAAGTTCATCAATCATTCGAAAATTATTTTTAAATTCAGAGTATTTGTTACCTTTCCCCAGCACTAATGCAAATGCGTTAATCCACTATCCAAATATAATCATCGAAGCTTTTCGATATGTTCCCCTTCCTCTCGACTCCAAACTAACCAAACTAATCTTCAAAGTCTCAAAAATCTCCGGCGATGGTCTACATTTCCTTTGCTACTTGGAAATCTCGAGTCAACGGATATCTCTATATACAAGCCGTGAAAAAACTAAATAAATGAGTAAAATTAAGGATGTGACCTGGAAAGAAAAAGATGATGAGGCCAGCCAACCCGCCAATCATACGAATGGCAACAGTGATGTTAGGAACAAATGCTGCAATACACGTAGAGGCAAGCAGCCACAGGGCACTGATGACCACTCTCCGGATGAGTTCCGGTCTTCCTACGGTTGATTCCTTGGGAATGCGAAACGCTTCCAGGTAAAGTATCCCCATAGCTTCCCTGTAAAACAAAAAATATAGAGAAAACTGGGTATTTTTCCCTCATAAACTGTTAAAATACGTTGGCTCACGTGATTCGAACAATTATCAACAGATATGAAACCAAGTTATGTGACGCTAGGTTGATCAAGATTGTTTCGACAGGTCAGAATATACTCATTGAAAATCCCATCAAGAATAATTCTGTGAAATTTAAAAAATTTTGTGATGCAGTATTCATTATAAGAATTTTTCATTCTCGGAAAAATGGCTGACTTTCAATGAGAACTATGAACAGTGGTTCTAGAAGCAATGAAATCGAATTTCAGTTCAGTAATTTTAACTTATGAATGATGTCTCATTCTTTTCCTTTCCTCTTCGGTGCTTTTTTCTTTTACATTTCTTCTTCTTTAATTAAATTAACTGACTCTGAGTCCTTCGGATTGGAATCCCTCCGCTCCATGAACGAACGCGAGTAGTTTCCAAATACGACCTTTAAAATGGGAAATCTCGCCCAAACTAACAAACTCCTCTTAATAAGAGAATCTAGAGACTCGAGTTCGTTGTTAGGTGAGGCTACTTCACTTTTCCCTGTTATTTGACGTTTTTAAAATTCATGTAAGCATATGTGGTACCTTCCACAGAAGCAGAGCATCGGATACGTGGCAACCTGCGCCACGGCGATTGCCACACTCAAAAGCAGGACTTCGATCCGGGAAGCGTCGTAACCGGAAGTGATGTTATGCGGGGTATTGATGCCAAAGGTGAGGACCCCAAAGGTGCCAGCAAGAGTGTATGTGATGGTGACGAACGTCATGATAAACGCTACTATCCCAATGTGGGTCTTGAAGTCGCGACCGCGGAGACACGAGTAGATGGGAATACTGCTCAAGTGGCACTGGTACCCGAAACACATTGTTGGGACCAGCATGATAACGTCGGACCAGTGGTTTGGCGATGTTGGGATCTCGGGGTTCGTCTTCACGACGAAAAACTGCACCACGATCAGCAGCGTCATGTAGATGACAGAGGCTGTGCCGAAAAAACTTGAGGGACACGCGAGTGAACAGATCAGTGTGTGTCTCTCGCGCAAAACTCGTCATGCTAGAGAAGTTGATACAATCTTTATTTTCATATAAGACTCACTAGATTTTGTTACGAGATTCATTTTACATTTAATGGAATCTCTTCTTTTCTTTAAATATTACACATGACTGCTTTGCGCTATGAGAAATGCAGGCGCGAAGACAACTTGCCGGTGAGGAAAATTAACTGCGAGAACAAAAGAAAAAGGTTAAAATTTCGCAGGGGAAGAAAATGAATGCAAGGAAGAGTTGGAGTTGAATATTTAATGGCGTAAATATTCCCGGAAAAAAATCACAGAAATAGTGGATATAACATTGAATGCTTCTTGAAGAAAAGTCAGGATGTGAAAAAACATAAGTTTTTATGAGCTGAAATTACTTTTACACCTATGCACAATACAGTAAAGTAATATTGATGTTTGCTTTGAAGCCTTTACCTGTGCAGTGTGGAAAATAAAATCGGAATTAAGGGTGACTGCCTGTAAATTTTCTTCTTTGTCATCGTCTCATTGAATTTTTTTTTCGAGCATTTTCTCGTGATGATGATAAATATTTTCGGTTGATATGTGCATGTGAAACGCGATATCTCTTCAGCATGAGGAATATTTTCCCTTACGTTATTCAAAATGCAATCAAACAAATGCTGAGATTTTCAGTTAAAAGACACAAATGATCAGATTACTGGTTTCAGATTTATGATGTGAGTTGAATCTACAACCTGCAAAACTTTCAAGAAATTGGATGCGATATAAGGGCGTATCATATTCCGAAGAAAATAGTCTTACTTGCGCGCTGATATATGCCCTCAAACAATATTGACCTGATATCAGGTGAGCCTTGAAATCAAGGTCGAGTAATTACTTGAGTCAACATTTTAACAACTCTGAAAAATAATCTATCATGAACCCTGAACAGCAGAAGAAAAACATACCTTGCATATTTGATGAACTCCATTTTTTTCGGGAAAACGAACGGAGCAACGAATACTACAGCGGTCCAGAATATCGTGAATTTCCGATTGCTGTACCAATGGGTATCGAAATCAGAGCCAAGGAACGCCAGGAAAACTGCAACACACAGAAATTTCGATTCCCGTCCAAATTCCCGACCACGAAATTTTAAAATTCAAAAATTCAACCTCCTTACGGTTGTCACTCTGGTCTCCGAGAATGATTTGGAAAGTGACACAAGCACCGAACGTGTATAAAACGATGACGACGGCAGCGATAACTTTACAAGCTCTGCCGCAATAGGACATGCATTCATGATAGGTGTTTTTCTTGGTCTTGTCAGAACAGTAGGCCAAGATCACGTGCGGTGGGGAGGCCAAAAATCCGAAAATCTGCGCATAAAATGAGAGACGATTCCAGCGGACTTTGTGCATATAGTCAGGTATATATGCGCAATATGTCCGATGTTTACTGCGCGATCTGGAATGCCGCCCGTTCATGCAATTACAATTTCTTCACATCATCGATTTGATTCTTTATTAACATTTTTAACATATATACAGAAGCATCCTGCGAAAATCGTCAATATTCTACAGTCAGTAGCATTCAGACAAATATATTATACTGTATAAATCTGCAACGAATATCACATCGGCAAAAACTAATCGTTCACCCGGAAAGAAAACTAAAGGTGCAGTGTTCCCTCAAATCATGCCAAAATTCGAAACTAAGCGCATTCTCAGTTTCAGTCATTCATTATTTCGGAGTAATCGGACGTACTTTCACATACAACTTATTGCGAAAAAATATTCTGCACAAAATGTCTGAAATTTATAGAATACAGAATTATACATCATACGAAGTTCTGGATCAATCATCTTTCCTACACAGGTGCAAGTTATGGATTGATTGCTAAAAGATAGGTGACTTTTTACCACGTTTTTATGAGGTAATTTAGCACCAAAAGAGGCGAACCTTGGACAGAAAAATGGCACGGGGTAGCGAACGACTGACGTGACTAGCATTTTGCGAATGCTGCGACACACACACACCATAATTTATTGTCATGATATTTCGGATGATTAAAGTGAATCACAATCATATTAAGTCTTATAACATCAGTGTTCGGAATTTCGGATATTATCCCTCTTTCAGGCAATAAATGCAATTTATTTGCAGTGACGCACTGCGGGGTGAGTATTAAGTTAGGTTGATAAGGTTAGGTTACTTCAGGAAGGTGTTTTGTTACACTAGCTGTACAGTATATTTTGTTAGATAGAGATTATTTCAAACTGGTTAGGTTTCAAGTTATGTTAAGCTTGTTTTTTTTATCCAAGTTTCCAAACCTTTCTAATGCGATTGGCCAGTGAAACGGTGAGGAAATTGTCAACGATCATTCATGTATTCAGTACGGTTGTGAACACCAAATTTCCTGGAGAGCAAATTGTTTACAGAACAACCTAAAGTTTTTCTATAACTTCGTCTTCAGAAGAAAACTTGACTGGGAGAACTACCCATGTGAAGAAATAATTTCTGCTAACAATTTTATAATTAGCAAAAATTACTATTTTAATGGCAATGATGTAGTATCGTCAAAAAATCTTGTGAAAATTTATTTTTGCTTTCAACATATTTGTTTTTAGTTCGCTGTCCGGTAGCTACAATTTTATTTGAGCTCATAAATAATTCATTAATAAAAATTATTTTTTCTTGGTGTTTTAGTGGTTTTTTTTT